GCCGCCACCACCACCACCTAGCCCACATGCAAATTTTTTTAAAGATTTATTTATTTATTTATTATGTATACAGCATGTATGACCAGAAGAGGGCACCAGACCTTATTACACGTGGTTGTGAGCCACCATGTGGTTGCTGGGAATTGAACTCAGGACCTCTGGAAGAGCAGTCAGTACTCTTAACCTCTAAGCCATTTCTCCAGCCCCCACATGCAAATTTTTAAAGTTTACTTATATTGGGCAGCAAGCACACAACATTCTCTTCAACATGATTCACAGACTTTAATATGCCAAATATTCTTCAGTCTCTCTTCCCTGGTTAGCAAAGACAGATTTAAAAGGCAAAACAAATTTCAGAATGATGCATGCATAATATGGTCTCATTTGTGTATACAACACACACACACACACACACACACACACACACACACACACACACACACACCATTTTCAGTAGAAAAAAGCTCGGAAGCCTATTTGACAAAGTGCAATCCATGTTTAACTTGGCAGGATAAGAGGTGATAATTCTGAAAAAGAAAAAAGAAAAACCACCCTCCGTTTTTGTCTCCTACAGAATCCATATCGTTGACATATTTTCATTAGATATGTATTACTTAATAATTGCCAGTCACCTACAGACCAATGATGTTTTCTTTTTTTTCCAGAGCTGAGGACCAAACCCAGTGCCTTGCGCTTGCTAGGCAAGTGCTCTACTACTGAGCTAAATCCCCAACCCCCAATGATGTTTTCGTCTTGAAGAAGTGAATTAAAATTGCATTATGAAAGTCTGTATATAATGAAATGACCTTAGCTGCCCCCGGCGGCACAGGCTTGTAACTCCAGCTACTCAGGTGGCCTAAGCAGGAAGATTTCAAGTTCACCCTGCCTGTGCTACAGTGTGAGTTCAAGTCTAGCCTGGGCAACTTAACGAAACCTTGTCTCAAAAAAAAAAATTTTTTTTTTTAAAGAAAACAAAAAGTAAAGTAAAAAGAGGCTGGGGATATCGCCAAACTGTACTTGGGTTCAATCACTGTACCAAACAGAAAGGTATGCTGGGCTGAATGGAACGTTCCACTTCCTGTTGTGATGGCCCACCTCGCCCACACGGTGGCACTGCTAGGCTGCCGGCTGCTTCCAGCCCCTGGACCTTGGAGGGAAGGGATTGGGTGTCGGTGAATAGATTGATTTCTTCAGCATCCCGCCCACAGCCTCACTAGGTGGCATCAGAACACAGACTCTCCATAAGTCAGCCATCCCTGTGGATGGCTCCTGCTGCTGTGAGTCAAATGGCTTCACATCTCCCAGGGACAAGCCTGAGTCCTGGATCACGCCGGTATGGCTGTCAGGGTCCACTTCAGAGGTACTGAATTCTAGGTCCTGGAGAAGCCCAAGCCATAGTGGCCCATTGTGGAGACCCACTGAGGTTTCCTAGTGAGAACTTACTCAGGGTGAGAGAATCTGAGCTTGCTTTACCCAGCAGCGCTGCATGAGGGCATGATTTGACCACGGGCGTGGTTACCAGGTGTTTGGAAAGGTCTACACTGGCTGTGTGGTGTGCTTTGATCTTGCAAGGGGGAGGTCTTTTGCCCCGCCCCTTGGCATGTTATAAAAAGCCCTTCTGAATAAATGGAAGAGGCTGTTGGGTAGTGATCCAGGCCCTCCTGAAGCTATCCTGTTTCTGTCTTTCTTCTTGTCGACTAGGTCTCTCTTTCTATCTAGTATTTTCTTATCCCTCCCTCATAAGAACCCTTCAAAAGGTGGGAGCTGGCCTCCCACAACCCATCCCACCTGTCATGGGAGCTGACAGAGAAGGGGGTCTGTGGTGAGGCAGTTGATCCTGGCTCCTTCTGCACAGAGACTGGGTACTTTGACCTCGGTCTCTGAGCGAGTGGGTGTCTGCTAGGAACCTTCCATAGCTCCCCATCATCCTTAGAAGAAGGTCATGTTGCTAAGCCGGCTTCAGGGACTCTGTACCACCACCGCTTGTCCTCTCTGGCAGTTTTCTGCTTTCAACACCCCATCCTCTGTCCCCCTGGACCCCTTCCTTCCCTTCTGCCGGTCAAGGTCCTTCTTTCTGAGGTTTTGTAAGCTGCTCCCAATCTTGCAAATGCTCTTCCACTCCCTGTGGCTTAAATACTGCATCCTTCTGGAATTCTCCCCAGCTCCCTCCCTTCCCAACATTACACTTGATTCTGGCCATATGTTGGGCAGGGCCCCATGAGAACCCAGAGCCTGTCTGCCTGGATCATCACCTTCCCCTGTGCCAGGACCTGGGGCACCCGGCAGGCACTCACATGTCCCTGAGTACGAAGGCTGGAGAGCAGTCACCGCCTGGACAAAGGAACACAGAGACACGATGAACGCACTGCCAGGGGCCCTGCTGGGGTAGAGTGGAGACGGTAGGCTAGAACAGAAGACAATTGCCCAGTCTGGACCTCCAGGGGCCCTGCTGCCTACAGACACACACCAGGATAGCTGGGATACAGCTCCAGCTGGACCAGCCGAAGTCAACACATCAGATGTGTGCCCATCAGCCTGGCCTCTTTTCAGCACATGCCACTGTCTCCCAGACCCCAGTATCTAGACCTTAAGACTCACAGATGATGGGCGGCTTCTAGAAAATGTTCCTGCATTTTGTCACCTGATTTTATATCTTTTCTCTACCTGCTTCTTCTCAGTGTATCTCAGGGCAGACCGCTTTACCCATCCACCATCCAGGGCTTGACTGACTCCTAGGATCCTGTGAGGACGACTTCATTCCCCGCTGCTCCTTTTCAGGAAGACGGCTCTTCTTCCTGCCCTGTGTCACGTTGTCCCCTCAGCCTGGGCAATCCTAGGGGATGTGTATGAACTCCTTCTGCTTGTGTCTCCTTTCTTCCAGGAAGCCACCCCTGGTTTAGTGTCACTCTTTGGGATTCCCACAATCGGCTGAACTTCTTTGTCTCTGTTCAGCTGCCACCGTGTGGCCTTCTCTGGTGACCTGTTTTTTGTTGTAAACAGCATTTGGCCCCTACTCTGTGGCCTCTTGCATACGCTCTCCCCCAGTGCACCACCCTTACTAAATCCCCAGGCTTTGAGGGTCCCCTGCTCCTGAGCTGTCTCCTGTCACATGCTGGCTCCCCTCCTTGGGCATCTTTTCCTCACTCCCACCCTCTAAGGCACAACTGGCATCCTTAGATTTTTCCATTTGCTCGGTCTTCTGGTGCTGCCTCCAGGCATACACCTTTCAATCCTATCTGCCCCTGAAGGGCTTGAACCTGCCCCCCAACCTCAGGCTCGGCTTACACTGGCTACCAGGCTCTCTATCATATCCAACCCTCAGAGTTCAAAACAAACTTGTAGCTCAGCCACTCCAGTGTCCATCACCCATAGACCACACCCTCCGCCCTGGGAACCAGGGATCTTGTGTCCATTTCCCTTCCTCTTATCTCACAGCCAACCCATCAGGAAAGCCCATGACTACCTGTAGAACAGAAGAGTCCCACACCTTCTCACATCCCCTTGGGGACTACCTTGTCTTAGATTTCTTGTTGGGTCAAATTCAATTCTCCCATTCCAGTCTCCCTACATCAGCTCTGTCCCCATGAAGTCTATTCCCAATGGAGAAGCCAACCTGTAAGTGAGGTCATGGTCCTCCTCTGTTCTAGACCTTCTCTGGGCTGCATTCCCACCTAGAATACGCCCGAGCCCCTCCTGGACTCCTAGATCCTCAGGAGCTGGGTCTCTGCTGTTTCATCGACCACCTCAGGAGCTTTGAACACTTGGCTTCTGTCTTCCCCATGACTACACAGCAACCTTGCTCTTCCACTGAGATCTCTGTTCAATGAGGTCTCCCTGGATTAATTTCTCCAAAGCCACTCCCCAGCACTTTCCATCTCCTCCCTGGCTCACTCATCACCTCTGACACATTACCCTTGTCTATGTGTTCATTATCTGTCTCCTCTACCAGACTCCAAGTCTGGGAGGGCAGGGATTTTCTTTTCTCTTGTGTTGGAGTCTCAGTGCCTAGAACAATATTGGACATGTGGCAGACTCTCAATAAACAGTTGCCAAGTTAATGGATAACCAAGTCCATCTTCACCAGACAGTGAAGACCCAGAGAGCAGGGGCATGCCTATGCTCACCACCATAGCCTAAGACTCAAGTCATAAGAAATGCTCAGTAAATATTAGTTAGCTGCATGGATGAAAGGTTGGATAAATGGGCCAGAACACTGTCTCCAAGGGCTGCCACTTGGACAGGTGTTTGGCCCGAGTCTGCAGGAGTAGGCAGGGCTCTCCACCCTGGAGATACCTGCTTCCTGAGCCGTTCAGGATTGCCTGAGAGAGAGGTCCCAGATTCTGTCTGTTCTGGTAGGATTCCCCACCCCCTAGGCCCTGGAGGATTGCTCTCCCTCTTCCCAACAATGCAGGGAATGAGTCCAGGGTGCCACGTTGATCCACACTTCAAGCTCTCAGGCGCCTTAGCGGAGCAGCTCTGCTTCCAAGATTCCCCAGCAGAACGCCTAGTTTGGGGTGTGGAGCAGGGTGCGTCTCCACAGCATCGCATGTCGTCATCAAACAGGGACCGGCCAGGTATGGGACAGCAGGGAGGTAAAGATCGAAGAGGAAGATGCAGTTGCTGAAACCTCATCACAAAGAAGTGGAGGACTGGCCACAAGCCTGGGAACGATGGAGCCTTGGATGGGAGGATGCCTGTGGATCTACAGCTGTGTGCCCTGGAAACGCGCTGGAATCACACTTAGCCACCCCTAATTGTGATCACCCCAGAGTCAGAAGCGGGCCTTGAAATAAAACTCATGCTGCCCAGTTTGATGGTACATCAAAACTCAAGAGGCAGAGCCAGGTAGATCTCTGTGAGTTCAAGGCCAGCCTGGTCCACACAGTAAATTCCAGGAGAGCCAGGACTACACAGAGAAAACCCATCTCAAGCAGAACAGAACAAAACATAACAAAATAAACAAAACAAAACAAAAAACTATGTTGTTGATTCTTCTGTCTATTGACCTAATAAGCTCATAGCCATGCATAATTAGAAACTTTTTTTTAAGTTTCCATCTTTAGCCCTCACTGTGGAACTCACTATGTAGCTCAGGCTGTCCCCAAACTCAGCAATGTTCCCACCTCAGATTCCCTAGTTCTAGGATTATAAGCATGAGCCACCATAATGTTTTTTAAAAAATTGTTCCTGTGGATATGCCAGCGTTGGCTCTCCACACACGGCTTCTGAGCTTCATGGTGGGCAGTGGTTTGATCCACAGGAGGGCAAGTTGAATGGATAGTGGCTGATTGACCAGCCAGGGCAGTGAACACCACCAGATGTCAACCTCCAGCCCCACCAACCTGAAAGCCTTGCTCTGGCATTCAACGACCTTTTCTACCCAAGGCTAACGGTTTCCCAGCATTCCCCACACAGACACAGGTGTGGCTGAAGAGAAAGATAGAGTCAGACGGATTCTGTGAGTTTGAGGCCAGCCTGGTCTACAGAGTGAGTTCCGGGATAGCCAGGGCTACACGGAGAAGCAGAGAGGAGCGGGAAATAAGAAACCACCTTGGTCTCAAAGTAGTGGTTTGCTTATCTGTGTGTGTCTGTGTGTCTGCACACCTGCGTACAGTAGTGGTTTGTTTATCTGTGTGTGTCTGTGTGTCTGCACACCTGCACACAGTAGTGGTTTGTTTATCTGTGTGTGTCTGTGTGTCTGCACACCTGCGTACAGT